CGTCTCTCCTACTCTCTCCTCGTCTCTCCTCGTCCTCCGCGTTCTCCTCGTCTCTCCCTGTCTCTCCGCGTCTCTCTCTGTCTCTCCGCGTCTTTCCGCGTCTCTCCGCGTCTCTCCCTGTCTCTCCCTGTCTCTCCGAGTTTCTCCGCGTCTCTCCCTGTCTCTCCGTATCTCTCCCCGTCTCTCTCTCTGTCTCTCCCTGTCTCTCCACGTCTCTCCACGTCTCTCAGTGTCTCTCAGCGTCTCTCCATGTCTCTCCCTGTATCTCCCTGTCTCTCGCTGTCTTTCCCTGTCTCCATGTCGCTTCCTGTCTCTCCCTGTCTCTTCCTGTCCCTTCCTGTCTCTCTCTTTTTCCCGTTACGTTTCTCGTCTTTTTCTACATCGTTCCTTGGCATCTCCGTTAAAAACTCGTTTTATTTGTGATGAATTGTAGATAGAGACACGATCAGCAGAGTCACAAAAGCCATATCCATCTCGTTGCCAAACAAGAAGTTTAATTTAGTTTCTAGATCGTTGTTCGCTTTTAAGCACGCCGATTCCGAACGTAACAGAAGATTGTACATAAAAAACGTGCTCGAGAATTTCCACGTAGATCAATTGGGAAGATGCTTCCTCGTAATCGTCACGATAGACGCGGCGAGTGACGTTATGGAAGTTGTAAGATACAGAATGCAATTTTTTTCGTCTAGATCTCTGAATTAGCACTCATGTTAGAGTGAGAATGAAGTAACAGTCCATAATTTACGAGGTTCCCTTGGCCACAACATTATTTCTCTAATGTAGACCTTAAAAATTATGTCAACTTCACCGTCAAATGCGAGATGCTATTTGTGAGGAATCTCGCAAATTATGGACACAACTTGTTTCTATTCTTAAGTTTAACTTCGAATTTGGTATATTTAGACGAAGTCTTTAAATATGGCCCAACCCGACAGCCAGTGGTTATACATTATCACTGATAGTGTAATACGAAACTCCACGAACATTACCAGTTTCGTCGATTTATTACCGGAAGGCAGTAACGTGGCCTTCATTTACAATGCGACGGACAGTGACACATATTGCAATGTAATTTCGTTAATTATTCTCTCTATGTGTACAGATTTTTCACTACTTAAGGTTTTAACCACTGAAATAAAATAATCAAATAAGTTTAACTATAACAAAGATAATTTCATTTATAAAAAAGTCATTCTTCGATCATTCGTTTACAATAGAAGACTTTGTATATATTTTACTCTGTTCTTTTTCTATCTCTCTTCCTCTTTCGTTATACATTTTGACAAAAGAAAATAAATTTTTTTAGGTGAGCTTAAAATGTCATATCCAGGAGTTAGTTTCGGGTTTGGCTAATGCCTTAAGGATGTCGTTGATGACCGAAATAGAATTGTACAGTCACATGAGCGACGAGGATTTCGAACTCGTCCGATTAAATAAGCTCGAAAGGCGCCAGGAAATTCTCAAAAATATCAACGTTCGTATCTCTGACATTATGTTTAATGTTATTTGGACTAGCGGTATGGAGAAACGATACCTCGCGTGAGACCGCAACTTTTTCGACAAAATGCGCATGGTTTTATTGCACATACGTAAATTAAGATAATTAAATTTCCGAGAAAAATGCTTTGATTGTATGAACAAGACATGTATGATAGAATGTATTTTGATTAAACCAGAGAGGTCTTATAATTATCACGATGGGGCTCGACATTTCTTGAGCAGAAGTTTGATAGACGTCACTACGTCTTGTTGATACAATCGAAGCACTTTTCTCAGTGTAGAAATAAAACATTAGATGTTTCATTTAAGAAACGTTTATCCTTCCTAAATATTCGCGAGGAATCGTATCTACGCCATCGAGGTCCTCCCCGACGGAAGCTTCACAGACGCTATATTTCCTGCAGATAAAGCTTATCGAGGATACTTTCGCCACGGGCGGCGTATGCGGTAAATGCCTGGTTTGGCGGTTCGCCTCGGGCATAACGTGGGGTAACTTTTTCTCTCGCGGCAAGAACGTCGCGCACCTGATCGAATCGGGAACGTGGATGCCCGTTCTAGGTGCGAACTTGACGGACGCTCTTTTCCCGCACGTAGCGCACGGTTTCCGTGGGATCAGCGTACCGGTCGCCACTTATCACGTATGTAAAGACCTCTTCGCTCCCTCCTTTCCTACCCTGCGTAATCACGCGTGTTAATTCCGTCCTTCCAGAATCCGCCGTGGCAGACGATCCAGTTGAGCAAAACCGGCGAGAAGGAGTACGACGGCCTGGTTTTCGACGTCGTGAAATATCTTGGGAGAAAATTGAACTTCACCTACACCGTGATCAGCCCGGCGAGCAATCGGACCGTCAAGTTCACTCGTAACGAGACTATAGCCGACGTGGTAAAGCTACGTAGAACAAAGTTTAGATTGCACCGAGTATTTTATCGTGACATGAACGGAGTATTTCTTCCCCCGTTATAGATAATAAGAAAACCTCTAAAGTATTTAAATTATAAATAAATTTTATCTTACGGTCTTTATACACAGTATATCCAAACTGTACCCTAGTAGCACAGGCTAAACATTGGTCCGATATTGGTTATATTAGAAATTTATTGGCTTCCAATGTAAAACCAATATCCCAGATAGCACACATAGTTCTATGTGTATTCTTCTGGAGTGCAAATAATCTTAATTTCAGAATATTCTATAAATACATATAGATTATTACAATTAGAAATCGTATATTTATAACAAAGAAGAACGTTTTTAGAATATTCGCCGAGATTGTCTTTGGAACATTCGTTCAGAATAATTTTTTATTATTCATCGAGTTTATGTATTGCACATTGTTTATTGTGTAATACACTTATTCAAAAGGCAGTGAACACTTATCTTATTCAAAAGGCAGTGAAACCTGTGATCATACCATATATAACCGACATACGCTATATTCGCTAGATTATTTTATTCACATTCGAAAAACATTTATGGTAGTGCCAGTCGAATATTCCGCGAACATAAGATAAATATATAAGAATGAGCTATGGAATATTCCAAATATTCTTGAAGAATATTCTTAAAATGTTCATAGGAGTGTCTTGTGCTATTTGGGATTGGCCACGAAATAAATGTAAATCTTGCACAATAATAATTATATAATAGTAGATTTTATAGGAAATGCATTGGCCAATATTTAGCAATATGATAGGAATATCGGTCTAATTGATACAATATTAGATCAGTATTGCTAAGTAGGCACATTAGCTAAACAAGAAGAGGCGTCTATTTTACAATATTGGACTAATGTTGGGAATATTTGATTTACATATTTCCCAACATTACGCCAATATATTGTGCTACTATGGTAGCTTATACAACCGATGCACAGCGTAAATCTAACTGCGTGGTGCTCTCTGATGAATGTGTTTCATATGTTAGGTGTTAACGTCGACAACGAGAGAAATGCCGTCGCAAATAATAGATATGATTCGGGATAAGAGGGTTCTCCTCGCGGCCTGCGCGTACACCGTAAACGATCGCGGACAGGAAGAGATCAACTTTACCTTGCCAATTTTTATACAGACGTACAGCTTTTTGACTGCGAAACCGGGTCAACTTTCGAGAGCGTTATTGTTCACCGCGCCCTTCGCCAAAGAGGTAAACTATGCAATACCCGTACGTTTCCAGCGATTAAAGTTCGTATAGAAGACAAATTATTTTCCCAGCTGGCACAAAGGTAAACGTAAGTTCATAATTTATTTTAAAGAATACCTGCAGAATTAGGAAACTGAATATCACAAGAATTCTTGAAGAAACAGCCACTTGAAGTATTCGTCAGAAGTTTATTATGGAACATGTAACTTCCCCCATCATTCTTATTATATTTTTCTATGAACTCCTAAAGAATTACAATTCAGAGAGGCAGAAAACTTGAAGAATACTTTACCGACTTACTGTGCTATCTTAGGATTTATTTCGCAAAACAAGAACTAGATAAAAGTGTGCGAGAAAAAGTGTACGAACTATTCGAGTGCGAATCGAGTCGAATCGGGCGGGATTCAAATTTGAATTTTTCAAAATAATTGTATGTGAATTAAAAATGATATTTTAACGATTTGATTCGATTTAGCTCGATTCGTTTAGGCTGGAATGAAATTTTGTCAATTGGTATTTGAAGAAGAAAATGAAATTTGATTCGATTCGTCATAAAAAAATTATTAAAACATTTTTTGTTTGCACATCTCTACACTGAAAAAAATTTCTGGTTGAATATGGACGAATCAGATAATTCCTTTAGGATTTACCAGAATTCCTTTAGGATTTACCAGAATTTCTGTAAGATTACAGGAATTCTGGTAAATCCTAAAGGAATTATCTGATTCGTCCATATTCAACCAGAAATTTTTTTCAGTGTACTATTGGGCCCGTCAATCGGCGCGCCAACAGCTTTCCCAGTTAACTCGGTTATACTTTCGATCTATTTTCACGAGCGTATACACGCATGCCTCCAAGCGGACTAATTTTCCTCGCAGACATGGGCCTGCTTGGCAGCATCCATTATTATAATGGGCCCGATCTTGTACCTGGTTCACAAGTCCAGTCCAATCAGCACGAGGACGTCGGGACTCAGGTCCTCCTGGCAGTGTGTGTGGTACGTCTACGGGGCTCTTCTTCAGCAAGGTAGTATCTGCTCGTTTCTTGAAAGCGCTACTTTTACGTACAAGATGTTCCAGACTCGCGAAACCATTCTTTTTCTTTTACGTATCCCCGTCGTTCTTATTATCGTGTTTCTTCCTCTTGTTACGAATTATTTTACTCTCCCAAATTACCAGTTTCCTGATGTTTCTCGTTGAAGAAAAGTTGTTCCGTTTTGCGTACGAAAATAAAAGAAATCGTATTTTCTTTACCGAAGAGAGATGCGAAGATGCGCACGAATGATTTTAGGAGGAATGTACCTACCCCATTCCGATAGTGCCCGTCTGCTGATCGGTGTCTGGTGGTTGGTCGTGATGGTTGTGGTTGCGACCTATTCCGGAAGCTTAGTCGCGTTCCTGACATTCCCGAATATGGACGTTGCCATCCTGACCGTGGAGGGCCTTCTCGCTTATAAAGACCGAATAACCTGGGGCTTTCCTAACGGCAGCTATCTGGAGGAGTTTCTAAAGAATGCCGACGAGGAAAAGTATCATACTCTTCTGAAGCGATCTATAATTCATAACGCGACGCAGGCACCGGAAATAATCGAACGGGTAAAGGCAGGCAAGCACGCGTTGATCGACTGGAGAAGCACGTTGAGGTAACAATATACAGAATGTGTACCCTTGAATAAAGACCTCCTCGCTGTTTAGAAATTTATTTATGAAAAATTAAAACGTAAAACTTGTAGTCAACCTGACTGGCATATTCTTTTATTTGTTTAATACAACGTTTCGACCTTATTTTTGGGGTCCTTATCAAGTTGTACTAAGTGAGTCATCGTCGTCACATAAGACAGAGTCAAATTATAAAAATATGTGTACATATGAGCACTGTGGCTGCCGGGCTTCAACTGGGCAGTTGCTCATATACAGGGTGAGTCTTTCCATATCTGACAAAATTTTTGAGAAGGTAGAACGGATCGAGATGAACGGAAAAGTCCTGTACCATTTTGCAATTTTCGTAATAGTTAACGAGTAATTAATTATTAAAAATCGTTGTCTTAGGCCGGCCTACCGCCCAATTCGAGCGCGTGGCAAGATGTGATCGTCCGGCGATCGATATT